TGACCTTAACCACTTACACTCGCACCACCACTCTCTTCACTTTTTGAGACCTGATGGAAGAAGGCAGCCTTATCCTCATTGAGGGTGATCAACTTCCTTGGCAACGACAGGCTAAGGACATCATCATACTTGTCAAACTTGAATAAGGTGAACCACTACTTAGTTGTTTTGATCGTCGCCTACAATAAGGCGACTTGTTCTTCTACATGCCACTTGGCTTGTTGGCGGTTTCTTTTAAAACAACCTCCTAATTCACTCTTCCTTAAAAGCTACCTTCTTTTTTACGAGCTCTGCCCTTAGTTCCACAACTTTATCCTCCATGGTGAGTTAGGAGACTCTCTCCTTATTAAGGTAACATACCACTATTGAGTGAGCCTTCCTTAGAGATTGCATGTTCACTGAAGCTCACCGATGGTTGCAAGCTAAGACAGAGGGGTTGCCAATTCTTTCCAATTGAGTTCATTGTCATTAACTCCAGTTCTTCTTTAGGGATCACCTTGATGATAGCCTCAAACGAACATGAGAAGACTGCCCACTCGTAAATGGAGCTCTCCTCGCCTTCAGAATCGGCAGCCTCTTCAGAACAAAATGGCTCGAGCAAGATGCTTGGCAACTTCTCATCGAGATCAAGGGCGACTTGTTTTCCCTTGCCCTCGACAGTCGCCTTGGGCTTGCTTTCCCCCTCCACCTTCCTCTTAGCAACCCCTTCATCTATTATGATCCCCTTGCTCGCCGTGGGGGATGGCTTGGTTGTCACGATTGCTGCCTCCTTTACAGTCCCAATCAACTTTCTAGGAGGTTTTGTCGAACGAAGGGGAACCACCCTCCCTACAAGGGCGCTTGCAAGCACCTTCTCCTTAAGAGGAACCTATGACTAGGCACTTACCATCGATTCTTTAGGCCAAGATGGCATCGCCACCTCCCTCTTTATTTCTTGTGAGGCGACTCATGCATCTCTTTCGGATTCACCACCGGCCTTTCTCCCCGCCTTCTTCGTCGCCCTTCTCCTTGGTTAGAGGGTCCTTGCCCTAGAACTCTAGCATCAAAGGGTCTTCTGAGTAGGAGCAGCTCAACATACCCTCTGCACATAGACAATACACAAAAGAAAAGCTAGGGACTTTCATCCTCACTAAACTTTAGGAGAACTACCTTACTCTTTATGAAGGGGATTAAGGTAGTCGACATAGATCATCCGATTGCAAAGTGGATGAACAAAAAATTTGCCTTCCAATTTATAACCTTGTTCGCCAATCTACTTGTCCTCATCACCACCGATAAGAATTGAACCAAGTGTCCTTGAATGTCTACATGGTGAAGAGGTGGAAGAATACAGTGATTGTCCACGAGAGTTGATGGAGATAAAAATTATGACACTCGCCACAAAGTTGGGATGAATCTAAGTGGGGATGAGGTCATAGAAGTTCAGAATGTTTGCAAACTCCCTACATAAGGGGAGTTGCAATCCCAATTTGACGTGGTCACAGTGTATGCAAAATTCACTATGATTGAAAGCATTCAAGTGCTTGTCCTCATCAGGAAAACAAAATTGTAAGTTCGTGTTGGCGTAGCAATAACCCAGATACACCATGTCTGGATAATTGGGAGTCACTCGTAAGAACTGCAACAGTCGACGTTCTAGAAACTTAAGAGCACTTGTGAAGTGCAACCATGAATACTACGTCGTACTCACTTGCAAACTGATAAGCAAGGAACATTTTCTCAATTGTAAAACTCAAGACCCAAAAGAGGTGACAAGGAGGTATTTATTAGTAGAATGCCCTGACACAAATTTCTGCAATTAATGCTCATATTGCACCTATATTTTCCTCATAACATCAAGAATTGGTGAATCTTTTCTCACTCGCTCGACAATCGCCACCAAAGCACAATTTCGAGTCCCCTAACCCAAAATATAGAGAACTTATCTCATAGCCATTTCACAAAGAATCGATAACAACTCACCTCATTTATCACTTAAAGATGTCATAAGCTTGCCTTATTTTCAAACAGTACATGCTTACCCATCAAGGTATACACAACTCGTCTCCGCATAAAGCAAAAAAGAGCTAAGTTATACAAAGGTACTTGCCTCAAAACAAAATTTTATTACTTAGAAATTTTTACAAGGTTCATAAGCATACCATAAAAGAAAATAGGGAGATGAAACTAATTGTCTCAACCAAAAATTCGACATTCAAATTATGTGATCGCCTCTAAAGGTAGCATCCTATTTTTATTAGATATTGTGGGAGAAATCGTCCACCTTCAACAAAGGGAATTTCCTTGACGAGGTGGTGAGTAGACTTCAAATTGACTTAAAGGGCAGCCATCTCTTTCCATAGTTGGGACTTGGACTCGCCTCCAATGGTCCTCTATGAGCCACCAATGCCCTCGCTAAGAATGCCCTTGACGTTGAGCACTTTCTCCATTATGTTGATGTGCTCAGCCGACACATCCACATTCAACAACGTCTGGGTTGGAATCTCGTCGCCTAAGGAATCATGGGAAGTTAGAGGAATGGCATTGTAACAACTACCGCTAGATGAGTTGTTGGAGTATCTTGAGCTACAAGCGGCTCCATCACATCCTCTAAAACCTCCACCACCAGCTCGTCCTTCTTTGTTGGTGGCACCACGGGGGTACTCACAACCAAGGGGGATGCTCCTATGATTAACAATGAAGGATCAATAGAGGAAATTTCTCTATCCAAGAAACCCAATGGAACAACAAAAAGTCTATCATGGAGATTCATCATTTTCATGTACAAACAAGATGTCCACTATGTTAATGCTAATACCTTGAACTCACTCGGCAAAATTTTTGGTAGCTCACTCAAGGAGAGACATATTCTGGGTTCGCTGGCAAATAGAAACACTCAACCACTAGATAAAATTCTTTTTAAGGTTTCCACTAGAAACACTCTTCTTACCTTCCCTCATGACAGTGGCAAGGTTGACCACCATTGAAGTCGGAAGGACCTCAATGGAGGCTACCTCAGTGGCAAACATCCTTGTTGGGCACCCAACCAGAGGTCGTTTGGCCAACCTAATGATCAATGGGAAATCATCAAAACTTGAGGAGAACATCTCTCTCCTTGGACTTCAAGGATCTGACACTTTAGCAACCACCTATCTCATGGTCGCCGCCCCAATTTTCGGCATGGCATTCAGCGAAGCCACACCATGCTCCACTTTCACCACCTTCAATGATGTTGGGACAACCAACCCAGCTTGCCCTAGAGCCACGGGAGGACTCGCCTCGACAATCCTCACTTGACTTGGCGATGACTCAAAGCACTTTTTTACGTCTTCCTCCACCTTAAACTTGTGAATAACAACCCTTCTCGCTCGCTTAAAACTAGAAATCACTAACTTGACAGGGTCCATCTCCACTTTTTAAAGCAAGTCCAAATTTTATAAGATGCTTAAGGATGGAGAGCACTCACCTCTCAAACTAGAACTTAAAGGCAAAAGAAATGAGTGTCATCATAGAACAATCATGATGACGAATCTGCATGGTGCCTAAGAGTACAATAACAAAATGATAGTAACTCATACTAAACTTTTTTTTTTACTATTGTATAGTTATAATAAGTGCTTTCCATTAATTCACTTGCCATTTTCATAACTCGCACTTGCCATTTTCATAACTCGCCCATCAAAGGGACAAGTAAATCGCGGAACTAATGCATACTAGTATGTCTCCATATAGGGCTTTTATAGATACCTTATAGGATCAAATAGAATAACTTAGTCCTAGTAGATTCTAGTGAAAAGAGCTCGATCAAACAATCACTTCATCCTTCAAGAGCACACACCAACCAATGACGTAACTCACATGTGGCAAATGAGACAAAGAGTCGTCACCAGCATAAGCTATAAGCTCATACAGATCCATTCAAACTCCTAGAGCTTTTTCTCTTTAGCTGGGAGAAAACCCCCCAAAGATACTCACCCTTTTCCAAATTGACAAGCTACCATCAGCACTTCAACACCAACTATAAGGAAGAAGCATCTCAGAGGCTTAGAGCCCGATCCTCTGGACTTGACCAGCACTTAGCTTGCATTTGTCATATCCAAAAGAACTTGCCTTTCACACTTGACAGCCAGAGAATTGTACCTATGACTTGCCTTACCAACTCGTCAGCCCACCTAAGAGACATGCCTTACTCTCTCTGACATCGAGGATTGAGCTGAAGAAAAAGAGCCCAGCAGGCATCTAGCAGATCAGGAAAAGTGTTTGTATATGGTCCACAATTAATGGGCCATAATCAATTATGTACTTGTTATCTTTTTTAATATAGCTTTCCCTATAGCCCTTCGATCTTATAAATAATGGGAGAAGAGGCACCTTTAGGATCTTTTAGACAATTATTGATCCCTTTGGATGTTTTTCTAAGATTTTCTTGATCTTTTTCTACTAGATCTTTCATATCTTTTTTCTTTCATTCCCATAGTCATCCTAAGTTATCAGAATCTTTTCTATTGAAATTGCTTGTTAGTAAGGTCATTTGACATACACCAAAAGCATTTGGATCCAACAATAGTTTTAAGCATACTCTATGGTTTTAATTCTATATTAAATTGCTACTCTAAGGTATCAAGCATTCTTTATCAATCAATAATGGTGATGAATACTGCTAATTTTATTTTATAATCTTTATTCAGATTAATGGATTTTTGGCTGCTTTCTACGTATGTCTAAGATTAAGATCAATCCAATCAGTACGGGCCGAAAGTGAATGTTATCTGTAAATATGAAGAATTGAATGCTGAATATATACAAATAATAAGATTTTAAAATTTTAATAACACAAATAAAAAATATATTTATTTTCAAAAAGATAGCATGCTTTTCAGAATCATTATAACACAATTTCAAATATGTTTCTCAAGCACAAGAACAGAACAAAAAAATTAATAAATAAAGAATAAGGAATTAAAAATGAATTCAATACAAAATAGAGAAGATATCTATAAGCCGATCTTAAACAACCATACCTCCAACTTCAGACAAATCAACGCCGGCAAGCAGCTGCTCTTTCCATTTCCTCAGGCTTTCATCATCCTAATCAACAAGAACCTCAATCCAGCCATTAAAAAAAAAACAAGAAGTATAAAGAGAATTCGAAAAGGAAGATAAAGAGAGGAAAAGGTGGAACCTTGTCCATCTCAAGCTGTTCCTTGAGAGCCAATTGAGGGCCGAGCGCCACATGTGCGTCTTTCCGATCATCGTCGTCGTCCTCGGCATCTTCGTCGTCCTCCTCGCCACCGTCGGTGGAGTAAAAAGAAGCACTGCTCATCTTCCTTTTGAGTTCGTTATCCGAATCGCCCGGCTCCTCCCCCTCCTTCAAGCTCAATGTCACATCTTCTGATGCCGGCGTCGACATTTCTATCTTTTTCTCTCCTTCCATGCTTAAAAAACTGGTTCCTTTGCTTCTCGTTTCAGGGAAAGACGAGGCAGGGGACGATGGGAGAGGGAAAGATCTTAAGAATAGAAGAAGATAGTAAGGGCTTCTGTTTCTCTATTTTTATAGAAAAGCTGTTATGCGTCTTATAGGATCTGCAAAAATGGCGGAGAGACAACCAAATGAGGGGGAAGAGTTCTCTGCCTATGGGGCTTCCGACATTTAAGATCTGTGAGCCCTAATCTTATGTGGCGTCAATTTAAATTTCGGGCAGTTGTCGATATGTGGATGTATATAAATAACAAGAGCGCTCCAGCTTGGACTAATTATATATCGTGACTTGTCTTGTTTGTTAGATCAATTTTATAGCCAGATCGTTTTGGTTTATTTGTTGTAAATTTTTACTATCAATTAAAAACTTTAAAATTTGAGTCTCATATATATATATATATATATATATATATATATATATATAAACCCGGGTCGTGTCGGGTTGACCCGAACCCGAAGCGGGTCGGGTTCGGGTCTAGGATTTTGACCCGTTTGCCTATCCGGGTCGGGTTAGGGTCGACCCGATTGAACCCGGGTCAGTTCCGAGTTCGACCCGAACCCGACCCGTGACCCGAAATTGACACCTCTACATTTGATTATCATCACTCAACTATAATCATCTGACTAATACCAATTGAATACATTCATCTAACCACTATTCCTAACTACATTCGTGATACCAATGATTCTTGAATATAATTCTCCAACCACTGTCGCCCAACTACTATCTTTCAACCTTTTGTCATCTAACTATGCCCCCCTTAGCACGGTCATTCAAATGCTTTCCTTTGACCATCATCTACCAACTATAACTATTCAATCTCTGTTGCCTAACCACAACTCCAACCATGATCAACCAACCACAATCCTCTAACCCATAGTCTTTGTCGTCTTACTACATCAACCATTACTGATAATATTAAAGCATGTCATCATTTACAAGATTGAAGCAAGTACTCAACATCGACACTAAATCTTGACGTCAGCTTGGGATTTGTGTTGAACATCTTGGTATTTGGTTTCCCCTTCTCAAGTGAGTACAACCAAATATATAACCAAACAATATATTAAATATAGTTCACATGCCATAGAGCTCTTTCAACTTCAAACACATAGTATGTTCTATACATTGTATGTTTACTACATTGAATCAATACCTTGCCCTAATGAAGAGTATCATTTGCAAATGACAACAAGTACTAATGAATCATTTCAGCTAGAACATATCCCATTGTTTTTTCTCCCATATAATTTTTCATATAATAAATTTAGTGTCTCTTTCAATTATTATACTCCTCTTTTATTTGTATATGTGTTGGTTCTTTATACAAGGGCTTAGACAAAAAAACTCTCAAACCCTGTTGTCATGATCATATTCTAGCACACAATGACCCTCATCTAGTATTTCTATGTAACTAATAATAATAATTATACTTGTGCAGATGTTTATATCCTTATGAGCATGTTTGAGGAACAACTTCTATTAAGGCCTTCGTAGCCAAGCGTGTTATATAAATATATGTTTGAGAGCCTTTGACTTTATTTATGTCTAATATGAGGTTCTAGTGACTTGCTCTTTATTTTGATTAAGTTGGGTGTTGCACTTCAAATTTGAAATTTTGATTAGTTTGCTTACAATATTGGATATATATGTACAAATAAGAATTATGTACACATATAAGTATATGTATAAGGTATTATTTGATATAAGTATAAGAAAATATTCATATATGAATGAATGCATGCAATAATGATCAACATATATTTTATATTTAATTTTTATACTTATTTCAATATAATAATATATAAGTCCTATTGAATTATATTATTTACTGTAAGTTTTTATATATTATTTTTAGATTCATTTTTAGGACATGAAATCCACTCAATACAAAGGACTTATGATATATTTTTTATTATATCAATCACTAAAATTCATATATTATTACAATGTATTTATGTTGTAAGAACTCTTTGAAGTTTATATTAACATGAATTTTATGTAAGTCGCTACAATTAGATGTTTAAATACATATGTTTGAAATATTGATAAGGCAAGAAAAACACCCAACCGGCAGATTTTTTCGATGGACTATTTTCTAGCTGCATTTTAGCGGATTTTTGATGGATTATGATGAAATATTTTTGACAAATTTTCTGATAGATTTTTCGGTAATAGATGATTTACCTGTAGTGATGCGAGGTTTATGGGAATTAAAAGTAACTTGTAGCTATCATTATATGATTGGGTTGTCATGGGAACTAACCTCTCAAAATATATTGATCTTAATAATCAAAATATCATGAAATTAATGAAATTGAAGAAGAAATGATAAAATTTGAGCCTTAAGATGAAGAAATTGAGGAATTTGAAGTTAATGATTACAATAAAAATCAGGAAGCTATGGAATCTAGCTCATATAGTGATGATTATATTTATATAGATGAATAAAGAGTTATATTACTTATGATAATTCTAATTTGATAGTATTGTATCTACAATGGGCTAAAGCTTTTGTTTTTATTAGACATTATAGTTTTGAGCAGCTTGGGATCATAGAATAAAGAAATTGAGGATCATGAATAGTTGAGGTTAATTAGTCCAAGATTTTGCAAAGTATATTAAATGCATTTTAGTTTGTATTTTTAATTGTGCTCGTAATATAGGAAAAATAATAAGTTGAAAAATCATTCACACTTAGATTATTTAAAAATATTGCCAAGTTAAAATTAATTAAGATATTACAGGTAGACAATATATATGCTTATATTTATATTCAAGAAATTAATTTCTCAAATTTATAGTTGAAGTAGTTTGGCCACCTTTTATGTTTGCAAAGAATCTCTATTAGTCTAAATATGTTGCACTAGTTGATTTTGGCAACTCATTTAACTTCAAAATTTATTAAAATTGTGGAATTGGAATCTAAAGATGAATGAGGTGCCAGAATTTTCATGATGATAGTGAGTTTAATGTCTTAGTATTGATATTATATTAATCCAATACACATGTATTTCAAAGAGAATCATAAAAGTTGCTAAAGTTTTTACATGAAAAACTTGAAAAAACATAAAAATCATAGGGTTGACTCCAATTGAAATGATTCGATTAAATGTCTATCATCAGTTTATAAATGATGTCTTTCATTATAAATGGGGAATATGTTGCTACAATATATTAGACATAAATTATAAAGGCTAATTTTATGGTGAAAGTTAGAAGAACCATGTGACATAACTTGAGTTATCTTAAAGATATCATTTGTTATATTTTTGGATGTTCTCCTTTGAGGAGGGAAGACAAGAGGGCAAAAAGACCAATATAAATTTTGGCATTTATATAAACAAATACAAGTTGGAGTTGGAATCTATGAAGAACCATAGTTGGATGTTGGTGGAGGAAGATGGTTGAAGGACTATAGTCAGAGGATGATGGTCGGAGAATCGTAGTCATGCAATAGTGATTAGAAGAATGTAGTACTGCGAAGATGGTTGGATGATTGTAGTTGGATGATGGTGGTCAAAAGATCTTAGTCAGGTAAAGATGATCAGAGGACCGTTGTCAAGTGATGGTGGTTATATCATTGTAGTCTAGTGATAGTGGCAGAGGGTTGTAAGGAAATGATGATGAGGAGACTACAGTGGTTGAAGCAGCATAGTTAGTAATGAAGCACCATAATTAGCAATGATGTTTGGAAGACCATAGTTAGAGGATGATCAGAGGATTGTAGTCAGAGGATGGTGCTAAGAATCATAATCAGGTGATGGGGATTGGATAACCATAATCAAACAAAGATGGTTGGAGGACAAGAGTTAGTTGATGATGATTGAAAGATAATAGTCATGCAATGATGATCAAAGTGTCATAGTTAAGTGATGATGATTGGAGGATGATAATCGAGCAATGATGATCTAGATTCCATAGTTTAGGAGTGATAATTAGTGGATTATAGTGAGGCAAATTTGGTTGAAGGATTGTAGTTTGACGACAATGGTCAAATGATCGTAGTCAAAGGATCGTGGTAAGTTGTAGTTGGGGTACATGGTCAATGGGGCCATAATCGGTTAATGGTGATCAAATGGTCATAGTTGGGCAATGACGATTAGATGATCATAGTTGGGCGATGTTGGTTGGATGAATGTAGTTGAGCAATCATTATTGAAAGGCTCTAGTCATGCAATAGTGATCAAAACATCATAGGCGTGTGATGGTGGTCAAAAATTATAATTGGGAGACCATAGTGGGGATACAAGGAAGTCAATAAGGGATCTAAGGTGTCCTCGATAATCTTCTTTGAGGTACAAGAGACATGACTTTGATGTAGAGGAGAAACAACATGAGCTTCACCCCAAAGTCTTCCATAAGAAATTATTGAGGATCTAAGAAACTTTCAAAGCTTTAGAATGCTTTAGTGTTTATGTCTAGAAAGCTTCAAATGAGTTGAACTGAAATGCATATATTGATGACATTGTGGTCTTCTTTCAGAATGCATTGAAATATTATAATTATCAACAATAAGTGGTGCATATCACATCTTTGTTCAAGAAAAGACATGGTTGGATGATCCACCTCTAGACTTACTTGGTTGACTTATCAGGACTTTATGTAGACATGTTGGTTGAAAATAGTAGTTTGGCCGTAATATTTGTAATTAATATACCTAATTTGTGATTTGAAATTTCATGTTATAAAATTTGATATCATGAGCTCAATAGAAGCGACAAATTAAATTTCAACGTAGGATCATTGCAGTTAGTGAATGTTTGTTTTATTTGAACGTGACAGTGCTACTCTCACAAAGATGGTCTTCTTAGACCGGTTGCCCTGCCCCTAACCTACTTGAGATATATGATTATGGTTGTGGCAAACACATTATGACCACCTACTTCTCTATCATATATGGTTGTGTCAGCACACAATATAGATGATAGGCTCAAATTGATTCTGACTTAAACTGGCCTTAATTCAATTGGTTTAGGCCTAATCTTACTAAATGTAAAGTCTATGTGGCCCATGATAAAAGAAATCCTATGCCGGTACTTTTCACATCATTTCATGTTAGTTTGTTTTTTGAATAAATCTCATTATGTCCATCATGCCTGAAAGGATCCAACATATTTGTTGAGATGGTTAATTTAAAGAGAATCTAAATAATATAAGGCTTGTCAATATGTTATTTATCAACCAATATAAATGATCAAACCAAATAACACCTAATTTATTTTTCATAATAAAATAAAATTTAACTTATATAATAGTTCATCTAAGAAAAAAACTAAATAGCAATTAAATCAAATAAATAGTTTTTATAATATTTACCATCTTATAATGATGTTTGATGGACTGAATCATGGGCCTAACAACTCCTCTAAGTAATGCACTATTAATAACTAATATTATATTATTCTATGTTTTTTTAAATTATCTTTCAATTGTATAAAATTATATATACTACTAATAATAATTATTATTATATATATAGGCGAGATAGGTGATTTTTTTTTTCGTACCATTTAAAGCTGCGATGATATATTGGATGACGCAAGTGCTTCCGTTACTAGCGCATGGGTCCATTCCTTCCTCGCCTACTTAAACAACTCCATGCTCAAGCTGAATCAGCGTAGCTTCCGAGCCCCTAATAGTCTCCTGTTACTTCAGACAAATTACTAACCGGAGCAGCGGCGGCGGCGACACCCATGGCCGGAGAGACGGTGATCGGCCGCATAAAGCTAGGGTCACAAGGGCTCGAAGTCTCCGCTCAAGGCCTCGGCTGCATGGGAATGTCTGCCTTTTACGGCCCGCCGAAGCCCGAGCCCGACATGATCGACCTCGTTCACCATGCCGTTCGCTCTGGCGTCACTTTTCTCGACACCTCCGACATCTACGGTCCCTTCACCAACGAAACCCTTATTGGAAAGGTACTCCCTTTCGTTCTTCTGCTTTCTTCTGCTTCCCCTGTTTGCGGGATTTGCCTGCTTCGCGGTTGCATATCAAGTGTTCGACCTGCAGGCTTTAAGAGAAGGGTGGCGGGAGAAAGTTGAATTAGCGACAAAGTTTGGCATAAGGGATGGAGGGAATGGGATTAGGGAGGTACGCGGGGAACCCGCTTATGTAAGGGCGGCCTGCGAGGGGAGCTTAAAGAGGCTTGGTGTTGACTGCATCGATCTGTATTATCAACATCGTATTGACACTCGCGTTCCAATCGAGGTCACGGTGAGTTTTCCATTCTACGCACCTTAATTTCTTGTGATTTCCATGGGGCAGTCCTTTTTGACTATTTGAAAGCTGCTGTGCTCTGTGATCATAGAATTTTTTTTTTCCTTCTAAAAATATAACAGCTTTTAATATATGTTGTTGTATGAAACTGATCCTCATCACAAATTGTTAGAGTTTATGTGATCCAACTTATTTCTGTTTTGTGTATTTTCTATTTAGTTATAGGTGTTCTTTCCTTAGACAATTCTTGTATAGCCTCTTGCTTAGTACCTTCATTTGTGTCTTTATATGGACATAAAGGCTGTAATAATAGGCAACTCTCAAGCCATTAACCAATAGAGATTTCAGTTCTTCTTACGCTCTCTCTCCCCCTCTGTTATCAAGAAGGGCAACGTCAACAAACAATGCAAAGGATGATTCTACCTTTGTGCTTACTTGACTTTCTTATCATATTGGGGCGAACTTAGGGAGAACTTAGGGAGCCAGCAATGGTATTTGGCAGTAGAGCCTGTTACTGTTAGTGATATCTTTGATCATTAATTTGAATATATCATCTAGAAAATATCCACACCACGGGCCCAAAAAAGATGAAAAATGAAAAAATTCAACGATCATATTTATGGAGACTATTTCACAAAGATTTTTTTGTTTAAATTTATGATTGTTAGAAAACCATAATGACATTAATATACCATCATTTTTATATGTAATTATTCTTCTCATTGAGAGTAATCATTTTTTGAAATGGCTCACAAAATGGAGATTTGTGGAGTTCATTTCGGCTTTGGAAAGTTAAAAAAAATTTCAGTCAATCTGCATATTACTGAGTGTATGTCAGTTGCTTTTCCCCTCGCCTCTTTGATGTCAATGATGATTCCCATTATTATGTAGAACATATATGAAAATCCAAAAAGGAAAACATATTAATTATGAGTTTATACATAGACTAGACAAACTACATCAACAAATATGTTGCTCCACATATGATAAAATCTAGAATAATCTTACATTAATACAGCAACAATTTAGTGCTCAATTTTGGGATATGAGTCCCACTATTTGTAAGTTTTAAAGTAGGTTGATACTTCAAGATTCAAACCCAAAACTTGAACCTGTCTTCCAACACATGTCAACAGAGCAAAAGATTTGCATCAACGAGTTTTTTCTTACATAAATCAAAGCAATGCTCAAATCAATCCGCCTAAACTTCACATGAACTTATGTAAGAATTAACAGAAAAAACTAAGCATCACATTATATTAGTATGAATAAATGAAATACTAGGAATGAAAAAAAGTATAAATTATTTCACAAAATATTTACAAACAAATGAAGTCCATGATAAGTGTAAAAAAAAAATGCCATAATAAAGAAGAGTGTTTATATCTTAACAAGTAAAATTGACTAAATTTGAACCATAAGAGGCATGATATATCGATCATGCATTGGAGCTATTACTCTCAATACATTGTAAAATGAAAGCAAACCAACCGGCAACAATGAAGGCTGCAATTATAATTAACGGTTTCTAAAGATTAACCCTTATTAATATATTGTAATTAATCCTAAAATAATTATTTATGAATATCTAAGACGTATTAAAAACAAATTTTCATACAAATGCTATGAAACTATGAAATCATCAACTGATTAAGGGTCTCAAATCCAATATTACATATCAATTCCATAAACCCAAAACTCAGTTGTTCTCAATTTGATCATTTAATAAAAAATTCTTAATTGAAATAGCAAGGCTATATCAAACATTCATCTAATCTATGTTAACCAATCTATTGTGACCTGAATCAATTCTAAACATGTCAACCCATAACTTAAAATTGAAATCATAAAATTTAGGCATGCATTTGATTTCATATAATTTCTTATGAATTTAATAGAACTAATTATAAAAACTTGTGAATGACAACACTTTCACATGTAAGAATCATATATATATATTTTATCGAAGTTCCCATCAATTAAATTTAGGATATCTAGTTTAACATGTAATCTTGGTGAATATGAAGTTAAAAGATGGGAGAAGTTAAATGAAATGATTTCTCCCCATCATTAAGATTGATAGTAGTGTTGTCATCAATGATCAGATTTGGCAATGATAATGAAGAAATATGAGAAGAAGAGGAAGAGGAATAAACCAACAACATTGATAATTTCCTCATAGTCTCTCCATCCTTGCTACTTTGACATGAGAGTACTCTCTCGAACTCCCACACTCCATCAAAGAAGCTCCCCCGTTTGTCTCTTTCATTCACATTTCCTTCCATCATTAAGATTGAGAGTAGTGTTGTCATCAATGATTGGCATTGGCAATGATTGTGGAGAAATATGCGAAGAAAGAGGAAGAGGAAGACTCTATCGATCTCCCACATGCCCTCTAAACAACTCCCCCATTTATATTTTTCACTCACATATACTTTCCCCTTTCTCATGTGCGCTCTCCATCCGTGAAATAATTCTCATTCAGGATCGAAAGGAGACTTGCTCACCACATCAATAAGTCTTTGAGAAAGCACTAGACCAGTTCAATGAGCCAATTCGATCCAACAATGGTTTTGTTGTTTTTATGGGTTATTACATATATTAGCCGTTGATTCCATCCTTTTGAGTTGCTTCAAGATTTGTACATGTCATTGTGGTGTTTACTCCTCATCTTGCCCAATATCTAATGCAGGCCTTGTTCAATCACATATCGCGATAATCAGAATGTTAACTTATTCCTTAGTTAAAACATATAAATTTGATTATGTTTATCTAACAGATCAATTTTATGCCAATTGAAAAAAGTATATATAAATATAACTATTATTAGAATTCATTGAAACTATACTTAGAACTTTGATATTTATGATTCTATTCATTTGTTATTTAGCATTTCGAAATAATTATTGCAAAATATTAATTTAAAAACATGACCTTTGTGTTCAGTTTGCTGCAAGCAGCTGGGTTCTCTCTTTCTGTGTGCGTGTAATTTCGCTGGATGATTGCAAGCATTGGCGTAGGAGCAGTGTATCAATATGCAACTGATATGCTATCTGCCCGTGCGACCATGATTTTGCTAATAATATATTTTATTGGCTGAAACAACTTTATTCATCATTTTCATTTTCCTCAGATGGGAGAACTTAAGAAACTGGTTGAAGAAGGAAAGATAAAATACATCGGATTATCTGAAGCTTCAGCGTCAACTATAAGGAGAGCTCATGCAGTTCACCCTATTACTGCTATCCAGTTGGAATGGTCTTTATGGACTAGAGATTCTGAGAAAGAGATAATTCCTACTTGCAGGTGTGCTCTTCTTCTTTGGATATTGCCTATTGATTTCTTGGCCTGGAAAAGTCGATTGTTTCTGTTTTAGCTGCTTTTCTTACATAACCATAGGGACTTTGTATCGTTTCAGAGAACTTGGAATTGGAATTGTTGCATATAGTCCACTTGGAAGAGGTTTCTTGTCTTATGGGCCAAAGATGGTTGAAGGACTATCAGAGCAAGATGCTCGCAAGGTACGCCACCGTTTTGGAAACTTTAAGGGCTGTTTGGTAGCAGGATTTAGGTTGGATTTGAGGCGGATTTGAGTGAAATCCAAACAAACGGCCTAAAATGCAAAACCAAATCTCACGACAAACGAAACCCGCCGTAGACGAAAAATTCCGCTCATTCGCTCTAAATCCCGGATTTCCGAAATACTGTATTTTGCCGGATTTACGAAATCCATGGTGCTAGAGGAAGAATCCTCTCGGTAAATCCTTTAATCCATAGCGCCTAACAGAACGTACAAGAACTTGGATCCATGTATGCGCTCCTGGCTATCGCCCAAGGGAACCTTTCTTTGACATTCTTTCTTGAACCACTTTTGTTTCTATTCCGTCGTTGACATAGTTCACTTTGCTTTCCTAGACAAAGATTTTTCATGAATGTTACTAAACAATTTTTCAGGATTTAAGACTCTCAAGATTTCGGAAATTCGGATTTAGAGGATTTACAAAATCCTACTTAAATCAAATCTGGGATGCTACTAAACAGCCCGTTAGAATTCTGACTTTGCAATTCACAAAGATCCAGGATAACGACAGTGAACTTGAAACTGCCAGCTTATGTGATAAATCCAACAAACTAGTAAAGTAACGTATAAACAAATTTCCTGTTAATTTTAAACTGATGGTATGTGCAGTAGTTCTTATGCTGATAGAAAATTCTTTGTTTTCCTATGCATTGTTAGGAATGTTCTATTCCGTTGTTAGTGCAGCCTGAAAAGTGAAAGTAGAATAGGAAGAGATTGAAAGAGGGTGCATATTGATATGGAATGTTACATGAGATATGCAAGGAGTCAAACAAAGCTATCGAAATTAGCTCATCTATTATTTTGAGAAATCATCACTCATCCAACGGGGAAACAATCATCCATTACATCTGGAAATCGTTCAATTTCCACCAAAGATTAGGAATCTCTCATCAAGTTAAAATAACAAAATTTAGGCTTCGTTTGGGACGGCTTTTTTACTGCTTTCCAAAACAGAGTTTTAGTACAAAATTTTTTATTTTTGTACTAAAACTCCGTTTTAGAAAGCAATAAAAAAGCCGTCCCAAACGAAGCCTTAATCTTCATTTGGGATAGCTTTTTTAAGTAGTTTTTTAGTACAAAAATTTTTTGAACTATAAATTTTTACACTAAGCAGTTGCTTTAGAAGCAGTAAAAAGTTATCCCAAATGAAACCTTAAGCTCTCCTTAAAAAGCCTTTGATATTTTAATCTTTTATATCCTCAAACTTGAACTCTTTAAGTCAATTAAATAAGTTGATATCTTGGTTGGAGGTAGTATGATAAAATGAAGTGATTGGTGGGTTGTAAGTGATGGTTTAGAATTACAATTAGCATGTAATGGATGCTTCATCAATTGTAACTAGGTCTGATATTGAATTTGAGCTCCATCATGGTTTCTCATAATCTTTGTGCATCTGATAAATCAGCCAAAACCTTTATTGGTAGATCATCATGATCACCTCTATTGTAGGTTGGCACTGCAATTTGCATAGACATATCTTGATGCTAGGGGTGTAAGTGAGCCGAGCCGGCTCATTTGTGGGCTCGCGAGCCGAGCTTATCGAGCTCACGAGTTGAGTCGAGCTCGAGTTCGAGCTTGAGCCAGCTCGGCTTGTGAGCTCTCGAGTCGGCTCGAATAAATATTAATATTTTTAAAATAATTTTATTTTATGTATTAAATTTAAATATTAAAAAAATTAATAAAAATCACCTAAGTATTATTTAAATGTTAAACATTTCATTTTTTTTTTCTAAATTTTGATTAAGTTTTAAAAATTCATCGTACATTTTAAAAATCCCGCCCATGGCTCACGAGCCGGCTCGAACTCGTTTACAGTGAGACAAACTCGAGTTCGAGCTCCTTAAGGGCCTAAACTCGACTCGAATCGACTTGTTTGCACCCCTACTTGATGCTAACGTTAAACTACTCTGTCGTACATGTTTGTGGTAATGCCTGTTAGGGATCCTGATAGTCTAATTGTGTTGCAGAAAATGCCTAGGTTTCAAAGTGGGAATGTGGAGCAAAATGCCGGGATATTTGAACGTGTGAATTCAATGGCATCAAGGAAGGGATGTACTCCATCTCAGCTTGCCCTGGCTTGGGTTCATCATCAGGGAAATGATGTCTGCCCCATACCTGGCACAACCAAGATTGAAAACTTCAACCAGAACATTGGAGCACTATCTGTAAAGCTTAGCCCTGAAGAATTGGCTGAGCTCGAATCCTATGCTTCAGAAGATGTCGTGAAGGGTGACCGGAAGATCGCCGGAGCTCCCAGTTGGGTGGATTCTGAAACCCCACCTCTTTCTTCATGGAAAGGAGAATGAATGATTCTATATTGCTTGTGCCTATGGGATGCAGAAGCAGGTTACAAGTTCTATTTTCTGCATACTGTACTTCAGTTTAAGAAATGCTTGCTGGTATTTTATGTTTGTGGTGATTAGTGTGCTGTGTTGAGTGTTATATGTTGCTAATGTATGACAACTTTATTGAGCTTAAAAGGAAGGAAATCACATATGGCTCATCTTGATCTGTTGGTTGGGGGTTTTGACTACTAACTAAGAGGTCTTGAGTTCGAAACTTGTGTGTGTGAGTTTGCCTTAATGGCTCAAATATCCAAAAAACTAAAGAAATCACTGTATTCAACTATAATCTATAATATATCCGTTCTTATGAAATAATGGTTCTGGAGTGTTTAAGGCCTCGTTTGTTTCGGCATTTTTTTACCTTTTTTTGTTTAGAAACTGTGAAATTAATGGGATGCTTTTATAGAAATGTTTTTTTAGGAAACTTTATTTTTCTATTGTTTTGATAAGCTTTTTGATATTTGTTTCTCTGTTAAAAAATTTTGTCCCTTAACGAAAAAACTATTTTTTAAAAAAAGAAAGGAAGAAACCAACGAAGCCTAAGTTTTAGGGCTGTTATCAATATAACATTGAATGAATTGATACTTTCTTTTTAATTTGCTAGCAATAAATTTCTTAAATTGTTGATATTACGGTTCCTTATGTACGGCTGAGCTAATAACTTCAAATCATAATATATTTTCTTGCTCTTAATATGAGCAATATAATTAACATAATGAGTCTTATGTTATATTCTCGTCTATGACTAAGGTAACCATCTAACTTGATCCTCTAATGAATTTTCTACTTAAAGCATCTGTAGTAGCATTAGTCTTATCAGGCTAATATTGAGATAACAGTGCTTGCTAAGCTAATACGAAGTACTTAAATTTTGGGATAGCAGTACTTGTCTGGCTTATACAACTCCTCTGCACACAACAAAGAGAGAACTCATAATCTAAAGCTCTCTTGAACTTTTGGGGACTCAAAAGAAATCACACCGCAAATGAAAAATACAATCTTTAAAATAAAAATATCAAAACTAAACATGTAAATATAAACTACAAACACTATTGAGGTTAAAGGAGAATAAGCACCAAGTGTTAATGATTTGAGCACAAAATTAATTTTTCACTTCAAAGTTTCCTTGTAAGTATATATAATACATTAGCCTTCAAGGAACCTTTGGTGAGGTTTCTATACAACAACAACAACAACAACAAACCTTTATCTATGTGGGGTCAGTTACATGAATCATTTTTCTCTATTGTGCCATTGTTAAAAGTTAAAAATTCTCATTTAAATCTAATAAAGAAAGGCCATTTCTAATATTTTGTAATAGTTTTTTTTTTAGTTACCTCTATCTTTCTTAACAGAAGTCAAATCTAATACATCTACTTTTCTAATGGGGTTATCAGAAGGCTGTCGTTTTATGTGACAAAATCATCCAAGGCAACTCTCTCTAATCTTATCTTCCACTGGAGCTACTCCAAACTTTTCACTTATATGCTCATTTCGTATCCTGTCTCTAAGAGTAAAGCCACTCATCCACCTAAGAATCCTCATCTCTGCAACACTTAACGTAATATTATGCTTCTCTTTTAATGACCAACATTCAGTACCACAAAACATTGCAGGTCTAACCAATATCTTATAGAATTTTTCCTTAAGTTTGAGGGAGACTTTTCTATCACACAACAAGCCCGATGCTTTCCTCCACTTCAACCATCCAACTTGAATTATACTAATAATATCCCCATCTATTTCACCATCACTCTGAATAATAGATCCAATATATTTAAAACGCATATTCTTATTAATGACTTGATCACCAAAAGTCACAATCCCCTCACTAAAACTATTATTACTAAAATTATACTCAATATATTCAATTTTAGATATACTCAAACGAAAGCCTTTAGACTCTAAGGTTGACCTCCATAATTTAAGTTTACCTTCAACTCCCTCTCTAGTCTTATCAACAAGAAGAATATCAATAGCAAAAAGCATATACTAGGGTATAACCTCTTGCAAATGTCTAGTGAGAACATCCATGACTAAAGCAAAAAAGGTATGGGCTTAAGGCTGATCCTTGATGTAATCCAACTGAAATAGGAAAATATTTGGTCAAACCACCTTGTGTCCGAACACAAGTAACAACTCTTACATATATATCCTTAATGAATTGAATATAAGCATTATTAACCCTTTTCTTTTCTAGAACTCTCCATGACATTTGTCCTAGAACTTTATCATATGTTTTCTCTAAATCAATAAATATTATATGTAGATCCTCCTTATTACATCTATACTTCTTCATCAAACCTCTCAATAAATGTATAACTTCCTTTGTAGACCTACCCGACATGAATACAAATTGATTTCTAGAAACATTAATATCACGCCGCAAAGTTCCCATAGTTTTAAAGTATGCCACATTAAATTAATTCTTCTATAATTCACACAATCTTGCACATCATCTTTATTCTTAAAAATAAGAATCAACACACTTATTCTCCGCTCATTTGAAATCTTTTTAGACTTCAAAATAATATTAAAAAGTTTAATAAGCCAAGAAATTCCTTCATCTTCTAAGCATTTACACACCTCTGTTGGAAAATCATCAGGTCCAATAGCTTTTCCACACTTCATTTTTTAAAAACATTTCTAACTTTGGTTTTACTAATACATAGATAAAAATAAAAATATTTATTTTCATTTAGGGTGCTAAGGTCAGTAATTAAAGGCAATCACATTCTCATAATTTTCTTTGAAGAGTTTATAAAAATATCTCATCTACTTTTGTTGAGTATTCTCTTCTAATAAAAGTACTTTGTGATCTTCATTTTTAATACACTTCACTTGAATCAAATCCTTACTATTTTTTTCACTTTGTTTGGATAACTTATACATATATTTTTCGCCCAGTATATAAATCATTAAAAGCTAAAATCCTTGCATCACATATTGATATCTTTATATTTTTTCCAATTATTAGAATTTTTACATATAAATCAATTTTTATAATAAATATTCTTATTTTTTATCTCTTCTTGCACATTTTGATTCCATCTCCAATTACTTTTACTATTAGGAGCTTTTCTCTTTGATACCAAGCATATCTTTTGCAAAATTCTTTGATGGGGTTTCTATAAGCTTAAAAATTTCCCTGAAACTTCATCCAATGGTTAACAACTTAATTTAAAAAAAATCCAATGAAATTACAAAGAATTATGACTTTTGAATGATCTTGTATGCTCTCAATTATATTGTATAATTAATTTAAATTTAATATTTTCTTATCATAGATTATAATCTACATCACACATCATAATTCAAGATGATTGATTTGACTTCGAGTTACAACAGCTATGATCACCCGTAAAGACCCCGTCCAGGTAAGTACAACAGCTATGCAATGGCTACTTGAAAGTTAAGCATATTGTACAAATAGAGTACAATTGACCAATGAACCATTGAGCCGCAAAAATTTTGTTAATTGTAGCATGAGGCCTAATTGGATAGTCTATAGATGCGAGAAAGTAGTTTTTATTAGTTTGTTTAATATAAATACTTACAATATTACAAGCAAAATAATTAAATAATTTTTTTTTATATTCATCACTCTAGGATCATTCATAATCCAACTCAAATGATGTATAATGAAAACTAAAGGGGCTCAAAAACTAAGCATCTACCTTAATTTTTATATTCTTCATGACTTCATTTGAATATTCTTGTCATGAACATTTATGAAAATTCACCAACTAGTGGATTTGTCTTATTAACTTTATGGTTGTTGTGAATTGAGAAACTTTGAAGCATAAAAATAAAATTGACTATAATGTTTTGAGTTTAGAATGGTTGTTTTTTTTTTTAATTTAATGACTAAAAATAATTTAATGATATTTTCTTGTAAAAATAGGTTACATGCTCTCTAAAAAGAAGTAATAAAAACTCTTTAAGACATAATGTATTTTATATGATACTAAACTTTGGGTCTAAACTTTTAAAATTAGGGTCAAAGGGGAGGTCATGAAAAATATAAAATCATTGAAATATTATTTTTGCAATAGATGGGGATATATTGTTCAAGTTGGATGGTAGTGGGATAAAGGTTTGATGTTGTTGTTGTGATGGTGAAATAGATGGGGATATTATCAGCAGAATTCAAGTTGGATGGTTGAAATGGAGGAATGCATCAGGCTTGTTATGTGATAGAAATGTACCCCTCAAACTTAATGGAAAACTCTATAAGATGGTAGTGAGGCCTGCAATGCTTTATGGTGCCGAATGTTGGCCATTAAAAGAGAAGCATAATACTAAGTTAAGTGTGGTAGAGATGAGGATGCTCAGATGGATGTGTGGCTTTACCCTTAGAGATAGGATACGAAATGAGCACATACGTGAAAAGGTTGGAGTAGCTCCAGTAGAAGATAAGATTAGAGAGAGTCGCCTTAGATGGTTTGGTCACATAAAACGGCGGCCTTCCGATGACCCGGTTAGGAGAGTAGAGGTATTAGATTTGACTTATGTTAAGAAAGGTAGGGGTAGACCTAAAAAGACTTGGTTAGAAAATATTAGGAATGAACTTTCTTTATTAGATGTAAACGAGAATTTGACTTTTAATAGGACACAATGGAGAAAAAGGATTCATGTAGCCGACCCCACGTAGTGGGATAAAGGTTTGATGTTGTTGTTGTTGTTGTTGTATAGCATCCACTATCTTTGCCTCTATATCTCCTTCTCTTTCTTCTCTTTTTGATTTTTTTTTACCAATCTCATAAAGTCTTGTGAGTAATATCTGATCAGTGATGTTGACAATTAAAATTATATTGATATATATTTTAACTTGGTATTTATATGCAATTATTCATTATATGTTAGTGTATAGAATTGTTGATTAAGACTTCTACAAGCTTAATATATATACTCTTACTTAGTATATCCCAATTATAATTGTAAGGAAAAATGAGCATTTTCTTTTTTGGGAGAAAATAGGGGAGATATCAAGAGTTCAATAAGCTAAAAGCTAGATCATGCCCACTTATGAAGAGTTGAAGCAACTTTTAGTCATTTTATGGAGTTAAGGAACCGCCATATAAGGTTGGAGAGAAGTCGAATAAGATTGGTGCATAAATTGTATGCTATGATAACTTTAATCTAACATTTTATGAGTAGGGAAGAGCTAGTAAGATAGGAATGAGGAAAGAAATATTGCTACTAACCCAACCATTCACTTAAAATATATGATAGGACGTGTAGGAAGAATCAGAGGATCTAGACGGTCAATCCCTTGTTATTATACCTATAATACATAATGTGAGAGACAAGTGATGTCACTTCACTTTTACTCATCCTAATTATAGAATAGTCAATTTTTAGTACACATTTATTTTTTTTCATTAGTCTACTTTATTTTTTTTTAGGTCTACCCCTACCTTTCTTACAGAGAGAGTCGCCTTAGATGGTTTGGTAACATAAACGGCGGCCTTCCGATGACTCGGTTATGAGAGTAGATGTATTAGATTTGACTTATGTTAAGAAAGGTAGGGGTAGACCTAAAAAAGACTTGGTTAGAAAATATTAGGAATGACCTTTCTTTATTAGATTTAAATGAGAATTTGACTTTTAATATGACAAAATAGAGAAAAATGATTCATGTAGCCGACCCCACGTAGTGGGATAAAGGCTTGATGATGTTGTTGTTGTTGTAGTCTACTTTACCCCACTTTTGCATTCTTGTGTAATGGATTTTGAGTTATAACCCTTGAATTTCACAATTGAATTGTACTTTGTTATGTTTATTGTGTTAAATGTGCTCTATTGCATTATGATTGTTACTCTGTTTCTTATTATTGTTGTTGTGATTGATTGCCTTCACTCTATAGTATCAAATTTATAATACTATTTTATAATTCATGTTTGAACAATGATCGATCATGAATAATGATTGAATGCCTTAAAGGTGTATATGATCAGCCTAATTTGACTAGGTCAATTAGGTTTGACCAAAGGTTAAACTTGGATTCCATACCTTTCAAATGATATTTTGGTCAAATAATCTTTGAACTATATTTGAGCAATTTTTTAATCATCTTTGATTATCATTTGAATCATGTTTAAAAAATTTAATCGATATTTAAATAATTATTAAATCATGATTCAGAATTGATATATCATCAAAAATTTATCTTGACCGGGCACTAATCTCGAGACAACTATCACCATGAATATTCCAGGACGCAACAAGAATAGATTTTAACAAGATGTAAAAAAAACACAAAACATGGACTCAAATTTTATTGCAATATACAGACTAAATAAATAGTCTAAGATAAAAAATGGAGATATATGATTCAAAATATACCTTAATATATATATATATATGTATATGACATATTTATTCAATTTTGAGAAAAATTTCGCTATATTTATTATTTTCTGAAACGATGGACCTCTGAGCAGTTTGATTCGGATCCAAATAGGAAATTTGAACCATGTGCGGTAGAATGCAGTTCTATAGCCAATCGTTCTTTATACCGCTTGATCCATATCCGACGGTGGATGGATGCACGCCCGAAGGAAATCGGGAGGCCTCGAGCTGTCAATATAACTGCCTTTTTCCATCCCTCAAACCCTAAGAAGGCTTCCGGTATCCTCCCTCGGTGGCGGGATATTTTCGGTTCCAGATCTCCAAGTAATGATTCCCCTCTTTCTTCGTTTCTTCTGCATCCTCTTTGATTCTTATCAGATATTGTTCCGTGCCTTATTTTGGATTGTTTTTTAGCATTTTTATTTTTTTCTTTGGCGTCTTAATGTCCTCCCTAATGGCAGCTCTACTCTCATGGTTAACCTTTTATGTTTTGGCTTCACGTAACCTGCCTTTGATATTTTGTTAAATCTTCATTTTATATTGATATCAAAGTTATCAGAATCTTTAGCTGCAAGATTCTTATCGCTAGATGTTATTGGCCAACGTCGTATTTTTCAGTTTCATGGTGAGTGGAATCATGTACTCGTTCAGCCGGGTCTCATTAGCTTTGTTGTAGTGATCAGTTTTCTGAAGCTTTCAATATTTAAATCAAGGATGGTTTTAAGATGTATATTTGGTTGCTAGAAAGGGGAATGATGAGAGTCAGATATGCATGGAGAACAAGGTAGATCCTTTTGCAATTAATCTGATGTAAGAAGAAGTGTTCTCTGAAGACTAGTGCAACAGCTCTTTAATTTATTTGAGGAGGAGAAGCTTAAGGGAGCAGAATAAGGGGATTTTGGGGAAATAGGAATGCCCTATAATTTTTGTAACTCAATGTACTTTTTTTTTAGCAATTTGCTTTGAAAGCAATAAATATTCACATCTATGCAAAATTTTTGTTTTCTTAACTTTGATTTTTCAAATAGATCAATGCTTAATGTTGGTTTCAATCACCCTTAAAATCATTATATCTTTGAGATAATTGCAGTTTAACTATTTTAATATTGAAAGTTCCTAGATGTACAATTAGCAGTGTATTTCCTAACTTCCTAATATCTTGACCATAATCCTAGGGCATAATTAGTGTTCTATTTTGAGATCAATGGTCTTTTTAGTAATAATATATTCTTGGAGTTCTTATTAACATAATTTCTAGTATGGCCTATTTCCCAAACATAATATTGATCATTGGTAGAATCTGTAGGCATGTTTATTAAAATGATTTTTTTAATCAATAAATAATACAATGGTGAGAGGAATATCACTAATATGCTCAAATCACTATTTAATATTCAACAAATATAATTGGTGGAATAATCACAAATAATCAAACATGATTTGTGGCATATTATTGGCCTAAGTTTTTTTGCAATCATAAATAAATTTATTTATCCATTGTTTCACGTACTTAAGGAAATAATTACACTTTATTAGGATTGAAACGGTGAAGGCTTATTAATGTTCAAATGTAGTTTATTAATTTTATCCAATTGATACTTTGAAGTTGATTCAAACTTAATTTGCAATAAAATGACTTGTATTTAGAATGTTTTCATAGATATTTTAATAAAGTCTAGAAATAGATCATATGTAACTATGTAAGGGACTTGGTGGTGGGTCAAGAAATTACAAATAATTATGAAGGAAATGAAACATGCCTTTAAATTATGACAGAAAAACAAGAGAATTCTATGACATGCAAATACTTGAAAGACCTATAAAGAAGTTTTAAAGCAAAATAAATGGTACAACTCTTTTTTATTTATATAGTAGGGTAAGTTTTAGTAAAGAGAAAGGGTACTTGTATTAAGAGTAATTGTTGTTATGTAATGATGAAGACATCAAGAGAGATGAGTTTGTTATTTTGAAAAAAAAAAACAAATGATTTTGAAAAAAGAGTTTTTCTAATTAAAGAAAAAATGAACATGACAATCAAACATATAGTTCATGCCCTAAATAAGTGAAATTGAGTTACTTATGATAATGATGCATGCTGGCAAAGCATTACGTTTATATGTAATATCTACTGAAATCTAGAGAGTTGGTACTGTTGAATAGTTCAATTCATAAAATATTTTTCCATAACACATCAAAATTAAGAGGTGGTTAAATGATTAAAGAAGAAACATTTTATAAATAGTAATTGTGGACAAATAAACTAATCAATTTTGAAGGGCTAGTATGTTTTAGTTTGTTTCGACATAAGTATTTGAAACTATTTTAAAAAAGTGAATTTCATTAAAATGAGTTATAATAAATTATGTGTTTTGCATGCGCCCATTTCTTTGCAACTCGGTTTCAGTTTTTGTTTAGATTATATTGAGTTTCTATCCAGCTTCTTTTAATTTTGTACGATTATACTATTAATTTATTCAAAATGCAAAAATGAAGTTATCTTCAAACCGTCACAGTGAAATTCCGTGCTCATTTTAATCAGGTAAAATTGTAACTTACCTTTATCCAATTATCAAACAAACTCTGGACTCAAAATTTTTAAGCCAGTTTCAAACTTTTACTCACTTCCAAACACTTAAATTGAAACAAACTAGCTTCAGGTCATATAATAAAGTTGAAAGGAGGTAGAAGATAGAGAATGAAAAATTGTGTTGATATTGGATGATTAGTTTGGTTTGACAAGGTTAAGATATATTATTTATTCAAAACTTTTGCCTAAGGAATTAATGAAAAAGTAAAGAAATCACTGAAAGAACCTTCAAATGAGTCTTATTGGTTTTTTAATGACATGACTGACAACTTTGATAATTAATTTGGAGCAAAATTGTGGGAACTTGTGTGGTAAAAGGATGTTAGGGTTATTTAAAAAATGATCTTTAAATCAATGGCTATCATTATAAGCACTGTGGGGGTGACCAAAGAGTTTATGAACATAGATTGCATAGAGGACAATCATAAGCTTACATCCTTTTATGTTGAAGCTGAATATTTTGTTCTAAGCAATTTGCAAATGCCACAACTGATGAAAAGAGAGAGAATATATGAGAAAATGCTATTTTAGAAAGGAAATTCAGGTTGAGTTGAAGTAACATTTCTAGAATCAACATGAAGGTTGCCTTAAATAGAATCAACAGCTTGTATAACATGCCATTACAAGTAAAGTGGAACTGATCTTTTTATTTTATTATATTTTATTTCAGAATGAAGGTCATTGCTGCTTATTTGCTTGCTGTCCTTGGTGGAAACAGTAATCCATCAGCTCATGATGTAAAGATTATCCTAGAATCAGGTTGACTTTTTTGTTCCACTGAGATATCTATATATGAAATTACAAACATTTACTCGTGATATTTGTTTCTAATTTGATATGGAATTATTTTTGAGCCAGCTTCCTATTGGTCTAGTTGCTTCGTGGAGACAATGAGTGTTTTTTTGAGCTGCTATGTGTTCATGGACATTAGCCGTTTACTATCTCATCAATCTTTTCTTTTTTGGCTGTAATCATCACATACTTATGTTTCTTCTTTCAATGAATGATTTATATTCTTATCATGTATTCTTGTTTGATGGGGTGTTCATTATCCCGTAATATATTGGATTTTGGAGCTCTATTGTTCTGTTTAAAACACGAGTATTTGGTTAGGTTATTTATGCGAAAATTTCTAACCAGATTTCTTTGTTTAATGAAGTCATCACCTAAACAAGTATATGTGACGTGTTATGAGAAAAATTAAAATTTGGCTTCATATTTTTTTTTAGTTGCCACATTATTTCCAATTTTTATAGGAGACTATAACGTATTGGTATTTCTTCTCTTGTTGATAACTTGGGTTTTTTCCCCATTTGGATGATTGATTTCATCTAGAAAGACTTCCAAGAACTTATGGATGTTTTCTTCTTCATTTCCATAATATCATTTGGAGTCGCAAGAATATTTTGATGATTTCCTGATAAAGAGAGAGTTTTGAATCACCAATCTCTCACTTACTTTTGGATGAACAACGCTAAAGGAAAATTTGCCTTCAGAATTATGGAGGAGATTCATTTACTGTCTACACTTTTGGAAAATTTCTCTAGTACTATTTGTGTTTTTATTTTTATTTTTTCAGCTATGATTCTATTTTTCTATAATCTGATTTTCTTCTTTGTGATTTTTTTTTTAATTAACTTGAATGGCTCACCCAACTTTTCAGTAAATGAATGTTGTAAATGTTGCTAAAAAAGATCTGTCATGGGCTTTGATTGATCGGCAATGTAAAATCTTATTTTCAGATCTATTTTTGAATGGCACAAGAAATCTCTCTCACAACCCTCTTATGCTAGGTTAGATCTCCAAAAAGATTGGGATCATATTTGTAGAGATAACCTACTCCCTTCACATGAGACCTTTGTTAAATCTGCTACCAATATTTAATTCCTGCCTAGGAATGAATGATGATTAATATAGTTATAAATGCTGTTTTGGGTTTAATATTGAATTCCCATATCTTTAGGTGAAGTAATTTTATTTCTTGTCCAACAGTTGGTGCTGATGCTGATGATGGGAGGATTGAATTCCTATTATCTGAAGTTAAAGGCAAGGACATAACTGAACTTATTGCTTCTGGAAGGGAGAAATTTGCTTCTGTACCTTCAGGTGGTGGTGCTGTTGCAGTGGCTGCACCTGTTGGAAGCGGTGGCGGTGGTGCTGTTACCGCTGCAGCTGCCGAGCCTAAAAAAGAAGAGAAAGTGGAAGAGAAGGAAGAGTCTGATGATGTAAGTGACTTTATGTTTTTAGTTTTCTCTATTTCCTTCAATATCTATCACTACTTAATTTCATTTTGAGATGAGCTTACCGAATGAACTCTGATATTTTTTTGATGTAAATACTGCTAGTTTTTTTTTTCTTCTCAACAATATTTGTTATTACTGCACCATAGCATGTTTCACGTAATCACATTAACTGCTTCTAATTTTTTATTTGGAATATTTAAAGATTGAAGAAATATACCACAATTCTTTTTTTAAAAATAATGGTAATTGCATCAAATTTTTTGTTTTCTTTGCACAGGACATGGGCTTCAGCTTGTTCGATTAACTAGTGGAGAAGGAAATACGGAAAACATTCTCGAGCTATTGGTTTTTATTCTTCATTTTGTTTAATCAGTTTTGGTGATGTTTATTTTTTGCTTTTGTAGTATGATTAAGCTTCATGAAATTGTCCTTTTTCTATAAGTAGGATATCATATTAGTGAGGATGAGATTTGTATCCTTGTGAGGGATCTTGAATTATGTGTAACAATACTCTTTTTATTCCGACACTAGAAGTCTTTCAGTTCATTAACCATTTTGAATTTGACCGTTATATCGGTGGGGTTGAATTTTGAATTGTTCGATTGAGGTTCTAAAAGCACAATAGACTCTAGTTTTTCTTAGAGTTGATTTTGCTTCTTTTTTTTCTCTGATTTGCCCCCAAATTTCATTTAGGTGTTATAATGAATTATGCATTGTCTTAATGGTTGTTAAAATCTATGTTGTTTGCGACAGAGGGTAGCAGGTTCAATACCCTTCCATACTTTGTAGTGTCCGATTCGTTGTTTCAATGTTTTTGAACCCAACAGTAGAGTTTGTACAACTAGCGATGATACGTTAGGTTTTATACTTTTATTAGTTAGTGAATGCAGCAGTATCCTTCATGCATTGAAGATGGCGACCTGGAAGATAAAAGGGTCGTAGCAATTAAGTGCTTTGTGGATGACAATGGGCTCCATAATATGATAGATTTTATAGTCCTGGCGGCTGGAGAGAACTTTGGAAGTCATGTTGTTAGTGAGGGCGCCTAGGGCAAATTATTCTGACACAATACCATCAGTCGAGAGCGGAAAGGCTTGCGGCAAAGTTGATGGCTATAGTCGGCATCAATTTCAACGCATTCCATCATCAATAAGGTAGATGCTTGTGATTGCTAGTGAGGTTGCTTGTTGTTGATGAAAAATTATTCTGTGCGGAAGTGGAATCCCGTCCGGATGCCTAAGCACGCTAGCTGACGTGGCTCATTCTGATTGGTATTCGGATATAGAGCTGTGATCGGAATCCGCACAGAATAATCTCTCATTGTTGACACCTTGCTTGATGACAACCAATAATATTAATATTGAAGTTTGTCATCAACAATAAAACTAATGCTTGCATTAGCCAGGAAACTTGATGTCCAATGTTGACATTGATGATGATGATGAATGTTATTGTCAACAGTGCTGGTGCTCATTGCAGGCGATAATGTTGATGCATGTCGTCGAGTCCGAATGGAAATGCCCAATAAGGCTCATGTCCGTTGTCAACACAAAAGTTGATGATCCCTTTTCATGCCAATGTGTGTTGTTGTCACAGTTTCTACTAAAGTTGATACTAGCCTTCTTGGTTGTTGTATCTTCTTCTCCTATAAGAACAATGATCAAATAAATGCCTCAATACTCCTAATTTTATAATGATCATATGTCTTATATTATATCAATGTTTTCTTAAATTGCAGCGAAAGATGATATTTATGACTTATGGCTAACATTATTAAAATTATTTGAAATTGGCCAAATCTTATGGGTTTTTGCCTTTTGTGTTTTCCACATAAGAAGCCTCATATGTTCTATGGTTTACTCTTACTTTATCTTATCTGAATATGCAAGTTTTTTTGTATAATATTAAGATGATAAATTTTTGTTACACAATGAAGCATGTTTTATCATGTTATAAGAAAATTAATCCAATTAAGTATGAATATTGATGCAAATATGTGATTTAATAATATGTTAAAAAAATATGACAATAATGAGCTTAAGATCATTTTATTTTTGATATTACTAAGTTACCTACATATTTATAAATAGCTCTTGTTTTGTTACATGAAAAGAGAGTTAAGCATGGACTTTGGTATGCAATTTGAGATAGCTTTGCTTTATTATTAACATTGAAGATGATTGTTAGTGAGCGATGTTATTCGATTATTGTCATCCAATCATAGTTGTCTAACTGTCATCACTCAATTAAAATTGAGTGATCGTCAACCAACATCGATGCCTGTTATATCTAACAAGACACACTATCAACGTTAATGTCAATGCACATCATCACTAGTATAGATGAGACATGTAAATGTTGACACATGGCATTACCAATAAGATTGATGCATGTCATTCATAAAAAAATTGATGCTCTTTATGAAACATGTCATCGACATTAACCATGATGTCTGTAGTCATAAGGTTGACACATGCTACAACATCAACTCACACTATAACTAACAAAACCTACACCGGCTGTTGACATTAATCTCCATCACTAACATACATCGACTGCCTACATTAATCTCCATGCCCAACCTATGATACCAATGCTTATGCTAAACTTTTTGGTCTTTTGTTGTCCCATCCTTTTTATAGGAGAATGACCCACATATCACCAACAATCTCTTGAATATAACTTTAATGCATCAAAGCTCCTCTATAATTTCCACCATGAAAGCAATATACTACTACTCCTGCTATTATTATATTATATCAAAATTGGGGAAGCGTATCATTTGTAACTTGTAGCATGCGTTCATGAAATAATTTCAAATAACATAGGCTGTGTTTTTTCACATTTTCAAAATTATACGTACAAAATTATCCCTTCTATGTTACAATATTAAGACGATAAATTCTCTATTTATTATTATGAATGTTCGAACAAAACACAGCACGACATGTTAAATTTGAATCGAATTGTGAAAACCCGGCTATAAAATTTGTGCAAATATCAAATAAATTTTGAATTTCGAGAAAAAATGACCAATCTACATTCTCATTACGCGTAGGGGTGGCTGAACCGAATTCATACATGTATAAATGGTGGTCTAATGCTAACGTGGTTAATTTCAAAAGCACTTTCACTTGCATGCCTTTTCTTCTCCCTTGTGATGGAAAGACGCCATAAATGGCTTCAAGTACCACATGCTTTTTTCATTCTTCTATTAATGGCGGAGCACTTTTGTTTTTTTTTATTCAGCGTACCTCCCCCTGCTTTCAACTGTAGAGGTTTACTTTGTCACAAAAAGCTAAAACAAAACACTCACTAATCCACTAACGCTAACATGCTTTAGTTCGTTCACCCTTTGGATTTTTAAGGTTTTTTTTAAGCTTCTTTTTGCTTATTATTTTATCTTTTTCATCATAAAATAGGCTATGATGTAGCCACAAAAAAGGGCTAGCTTAGCTTATCTTATCATTACATCAGATAATTAGGGTTTTTTTACCCATCGTATAAGATATAAGATGATTGGTAGTTGAGTGGAAGTCCAGCGGTGGTTGATAGTCTGACAGCGATTGAGGATGAGCTTAGTGGTAAGAGTTACCTCAAATTTCTCTTTCTTCTTTGTT